AACAATGTGAACTGACTCTATTTCTTATCGCAGCTATAACAAATAAGTTGTTACTTCCTTTTATGACATGAAATCATATTTCTTTATTTGAAAAGATCGTTGAATATGGGTTAAACTTTGTTTTACAATAAAATATTACAGTAAATAATTCGAAAAACGATTTATAATAAGGTATATTGATAAAATGCTTACCATTACAATGTTTGTTAAATACTGAATGAAGAAATGTACAAAAAGTCTCAAGCGTTGATAAATTATCAAGTAAATTAATAATGAACCAGATGCTTGAAACTCTAGCATTATCTGATGGATCAGTGTTGAAACCGTAATGTGATAACTTTGCATAACCCTTTTGGTATGGAGCCATGGAAATAAGATATATTTATTTTCCTCGACAAAATGACTATATTGCACAGATTAAGCTTCATTAGATAAGCTGCACAAATCTCAAATAAATTTTATATTGTTTAAATTGACCTAACCACATAACACCACAAGGTTTTATAGATCTTAACAATCTTTAATTCGACTCTAACAGGAATAACGATTTCAAATTTATACATGCTATAATTCGGTTGTAGTCGATTCTGAAGAAGACGCATGATTTAGTGTAGAATGCCAAATAATTATTGCGGAATATCATTCTTTAATTCATTGTCGGGGAACCAGGCTTAGTCCCTAATGCATTACCTCCCCTTTTAAAGAATTCAAATAACTAGTTCAGAGAAATGTTTTAAATTTGTTTTAATTTTTTCATACAAGTGTTCTTACAGCATAATATCTTACCTATGTTGTCAATTTTTCAGTTCCTTATAGTGTCCATTAGGGTGGTCATACGTTAAATTTTGCGTCAAATACATTATCTCCATTTAAAGGGGCACTGTTTTGCATTGAAAAAAGAACGCATCTGTGAAGTAGTTTTTTCTATCTATCCATCTATTTATTATTAGAAACAGAAACTTTTTGAAATTTAAATATTCTTTTACGTCTTATTTCTTTTGAAATGATTGGGATAGTGATGTGCGGACGTAGTTACGGCTTCCAAAACTGTTATAGCCGTTTTTTGTTGATAAGGCATCAGACCCGTTATCAAACTATATCAAATTATGATAATTTGTTAGTTTTTCCCCGGCTCAGCCTAAGGCGTCCTGTGACAGAACTGTATATACGAACGTAATATATTTCTGTCTCGTATCTTTTCCCTTTTAACTTCAGTTCGTCAAGGTAGCATTTTATTATTTGCAGTGCATAACTGTCCCCGTGTATATCCAGTAACTCAGGAATGTGAAAGTTACGCATGAATTATGCATAAGTAACGCAGACTTATGCAATTTAGTGGCTAAACCAAGCTCTGCAAGAAGTAAATGGACCAGTATTTTTATTGTACACCAAATTGGAAGAAACGAAGCAGCGCATTTGGTTGCTGAGACATTATACTTTACAATTCATCAACATATTTTCATGTAATTATTTATTTTTCAAGATCATTCGTGAATAGCGTATTGGTGGCGATTTTTAGTTTCGTTGATATCTTTGAATACAATAACATACTAATGTCAGAATAATCGTACACTTTTATAGTAGATATATTTTTTATAACGAGTTAATGTCTTCGGGATCATTGATGCCAGCACTATTGAGAGTTGAGAATTGAGTAGCGCTCAAGCCGGTGCTATGGGGCGTGAGGGATGTTGCACTTATTCATTATCCCTCATGAACAGACTCAATAAAACCGAGTCTGCAATTCTCTTGTAATTTTGTTGTGATTAATGCTTTCGAGGGATCACTTTGTTCCAGATTTTTATACTTCACAACAGCAGGTGTCAAGTGCTGTGTGGCAGCTGTAAAAAGTTGCCCCGTACTTCATTTCAGTGTTGTTATATTTTTCTGATCCTTCGGGATCATTGATGCCAACATTATTGAGAGTTGAGAATTGAGTACCGCTCAAGCCGGTGCTATGGGGCGTGAGGGTTGCTGCACTTATTCATTATCCCTCATGAACAGACTCAATCAAACCGAGTCTGCAATTCTCTTGTAATTTTGTTGTGATTAATGCTTTCGAGGGATCACTTTGTTCCAGATTTTTATACTTCACAACAGCAGGTGTCAAGTGCTGTGTGGCAGCTGTAAAAAGTTGCCCCGTACTTCATTTCAGTGTTGTTATATTTTTCTGATCCTTCGGGATCATTGATGCCAACACTATTGAGAGTTGAGAATTGAGTAGCGCTCAAGCCGGTGCTATGGGGCGTGAGGGTTGCTGCACTTATTCATTATCCCTCATGAACAGACTCAATCAAACCGAGTCTGCAATTCTCTTGTAAGTTTGTTGTGATTAATGCTTCCGAGGGATCACTTTGTTCCAGATTTTTTTCCTACAGCGATACACTGAAGTGTATTATATTTCAATGAACAGTGTAAATTGTTGTTTTGGAGGGAGTGTTTTTGATTTGTTGAAGTTGGTTGAATTTTATTGTGGTGATCTTAATATACAAGGTTCATTAGTTGTTTTGGTTGTTGTATTTTAGTTGGCTGTTGAGTTATCTCTGTTAGATAAGATATACTTGGTTGATAATTATTTAGTTGTTGAAATATAATTATCTGTTTGTTATGATAATATTGGTTGATATTGGTTGAGTTGTATGGAGTGATCTTGTCTGGTCAAGATTATATCTGTTGATGCTTTGTTTTTGAGGATACATGTAAATATTGGATGCTTTTGTTCAGTTGTTTTCTGATGCTAATTAGATTTTGTGAAGTTAATATTGTTTGTTGAATGTTTTGTTGTTTTACTGTATCTTAAAGTTGTAAAAAAATATTCATTTTGTATTCTTCATTTTTGTGGCGATTTTATTGTTTTGTTTGATCGTAAGTTGTTTAGAGCTTGGGCTCGCCAGGTGTCTAGTATTGTTACGTATAAAAGACATATACATGAAAAGATATTTCGTATAAGTGGTTGCTAAATGTGTGTTTGTTTTGTGTGTAAATAATGATCAGAGTTCTTTGTTTTAGATGTAAATACTAATAGTTTGTTGTTTAAATGTATGTATGGATTTGAGACAGAAAAAGAGAAAAATACCTAAAAAAATAGTGTTAACTAAACAATTACATGCTAGTTTTCCAACTGAGAATATTTCAATATTTTATTTTACATTACTAAATCTTTTTGACATTTTCTAATATACCCGTGTCATATTACACTTGATTTAGCGGATAAAACGTATCTTAGACAGTTTTACGAGGTAACGCGAAGCACTGAATCAGCGGTGTTTATCTCATTAAAAGTAGCAAAATCTTTTATTACCAGCTTTCGTCGATTGTTATACGACACTTGTAGTTTGACAAATGTCTGAAGACCTCAACAGACGCTAGGATTTTGAAGTACAACACCAATAAAAACTAAGATGTACAAGCAAATCTTAATGAGTGAAGGCTACTATTTCTTAAATTCGTAAACCTTAAGTCTAGATGTAAGGGATAGGACATGTTTTGAAAATCTCAACATATTACAAAATTATCTCCTAATAATGGGTGTAATGAATGAAATTCCGAACAATTAGGGCTAAAATGTAAACATAGTAGTAAGATGTGGTAAAAATTATGTTGAAAAACTCTTCAGGAGACCCAAAGTTGTGGTATCTTCGAATCCCAAATTGTTCCGAAAATGATTATATCACGGTATTGAACTGTTCTCTAATCGGGGGAGGTAGTTTGTAGGGGGCCGGATAGCTCAGTCAGTAGAACCGCAGTACGGTATTCCGAGGGTCCCAGGTTTGAGTCTCGGTCAGGCTGCACATTAAACAAAAAAAAACAATTTAACAATTTTTAAAAAAAATGGAGGTGTTTCAATCATTACTCATGGTGAAAAAAAATTAGTGAGTATGTAAGGGATCAATTGGGAGGGAACTTTTTTGAGGGAAACCTGAGATGATTCCTACAATGCAGAATGACCGTCTGAATGCAAGTGTTGTATTGGTTTGACAATTGTAAATCTTATCTCTAATACGTGTTGTACAACTAAATCCTACCGTCTATGAAGATAAAATTTTAAATGTGCTAAATTAACATATTATTTGACGAAACAAAAGTCACCTTCAAAACACAGTAATCAGGTTGACTTCCTCACGAATAATTGCACATTCCTGCGTTACTAGATATGTACGTGACTGTATAGTGTTACACCATTTCTTGCTTGTGCAAAACATCGTTTGTTCATGAAGTTATGAAACAAGTACTTTTTACCAGGAGTCTTACATAGATGTAAATTATACACTGTAGCATATATATGCATGACGGAACACTCTGCATGCAATATAGATTAGTGTTTTCACAGAAACACGCATATTTTAAACATAAACATTTACGTGCTCAAATTCAATACTCGCGTATACAAGTACGTGCAGATAAAATATTCCACGTTTATTATCATTATCAAGTTCACACAGATATAAATCAAACAATTTATCTTTGGTCCTTTATGACTAATTAATAACAAAAACGTTTTATTATTTTTTACCTCTCCCAATACATAATTATAATTGTACACTCACTCGAATTCAACTCGTTAATAATGTCGTTTATTATATACTTATAAATGAAATATTTAGACATATTGATAAAATAAAAGACGTTTTTTCATTTTCTGTATTTTCACTGTAAAAATTCATTTTTACTGCAGTAAAACATTTTTCGTATTTTCACTGATGTCTTGCCGGACTCCTTTTTTTCTAAATTGAGCCAACACAAAATTTAAAGGTAATTCTTCTAACTCATAAGGTTAAAAAGAGAAAAAGTATATAATAAACAGAATTTCTTTTTTTTTCAAATTATCATATTCCATTTGCGGCTACTGCGAAATATTTACTTTCATACCACTCGATGAATATATATCGTGTATTTATAGAAAAAACTTGAATATCCTCTATATTATGTTCATACTAATCAGAATAAGTAAATATTACTTTTAACAAACAAAGACGGAAATTGAGAGCATTTTTACTTACGTGTTTTCAGTTGTTGATATTTTTCCTCATCAGCCTGTTTAAAGATGTCAACTTCTCTACATTTCTCTGTAACAATAAAAGTATATTAACCTGACAAAAAAGAAGGCTGTAATTCTAGAAATATCATGCAACACCTTGTTTTGTTTCAGTTATACAAAAATGACGGGAACAAACAGTTTTATAAAACGTTTATATTGGTGATATGTTTTGAAATACAACAAAAAAGAAAAACAATATTTAGTGTTCAATCAAATACATAAAATAACACCACTTTCTACAATATAATCCGCATTCCTCTGCAATCTTATATGAAATTGTGAATTAACAGATGCGTTTGGATGTTTGATGGATTTTAAGGTCATGACACCGCTAATGCCAAACGATAACTTTTCAGCTTTACTGGTGGATGGAAAGTTATTTGTATTTGAAGACAGACATAACATTATATTAGATAAATACCGTTTGTTTCCAGCCTATAAAATCTTCAGTAAAGATTAAGGGCTGGGAGAGTTTAACTGTAAACAACCATTACCATTTTACCATTGCTCATTTTCATAAAATTTATAACAATTTCTTTGCCAACCAATCAAGGTTTTTGAACAAATTGTATGGAATATTTAGCATATTTATCACTCTAGATTGTTTTTCAAATAGCTTTGTATTAACCCATTCAAGATGCGGCATTAATGTCATTTAAAAACAAACCTGCTGCATCCTGTCTTTTTTTCACATCTTTAATTTCATCCTTCATTTCACCAACATTTCCTTCCATTTTAGTAACCGTTTCCTTCATTTCAACAAAGTTTTCCTGCATGTCATCTACGTTTTCTCTTATTTCGCCAACAGTTTCATCAACTTTACTTACATAAGCTTTCATTTCATCAATATTTTTCTTTACTTTACCAAAGTGTTCCTGCATTTCGCAAACATCTTTCTTTAAGATATTCGTCTCGGTAACAATTTCTCTTACGTCACTTACATTTTCTATCACATATTTCATGTCTTTTTATAATCGATCAACATCGGCTTCGTAGTCTTTCCACTTTTCTATTTCTTTCTGTATCCGTCTCTCCTCCTTGGTATCAAGGGGACAGGATTTAAAGTCGGCAATTGTTTGTCGAATATTAAGAGCTGGGGAACTTCGTCGAATAAGTATCTACAAAAAATATATAAGCTTCAATTTATTAAGATAATTTGTTCATGTATACAACTTAGCCCTCTTGACTCAAAAGTATAATCTCCCGTTTGTTGTTTTAAGCCATAAATGATTTTTAATGTTGTATTCAAACTTCATCACTCAATGAGAATGATGATAACGATGTACAATTAATTTCATGCAGACTCATGTTAATGAACATTTATCAAACCTATATTCTCAAGATTTTCTTTAAAGTTAACATTTATGGAAATGTTTTACATATAATAAACAATCATTGCAAAGATTTAACAGTCAGAAATCAATTACGATTTTCCAGAAAGAATTGAATTAAGCATTAAGATATGTGAACACAAAACGCAATGGGTCAAACGTAGAACATATAAAAGTTCAAACACGAATGAAATGATAGAAAGTTATATTAAACGTGACAGTATAAATAGAAATGCTAGACGTGCCTTTGTTTTTTTTTCGCTGCTAGACAGTTTGTTTTAAAACTGAGACAGTGCGATATAAAGGACTACAAATAGAAGACTGTTAATGTTTTAACTGTCAGTCGATTGCGAAGTTCACGTAGGAATTAATTGTATATTGTAGAAAGATATAAGAAAAAATTGTGCATTTAAGTACATATGATGATGGAAGAAAATTAATAATTTTGCTTTCAAAATGGTCAGTTTTTTTAACAAAGTGCCAAAACCTGTCATGGTGTTTCGATTTTACGACGGGAAATAATGTTTACATTATAACTTTATAATTCATGTTTTATTAGGATAAGTATTTGTAATAGATTTTAAAGTGTCCATAACAATTTTAATACTACCTGAACATTTGATAGCTAGGATATACCACTTTTTATTGTCTAAATATAAACACGCGGTGTTTGCTGAAACCTCTTTAATCTATCATACTTTATTTAGCGTGGCTTTATATTTGTTTACTTGAATGATTGCACATAGAAAAAAATGTTTGGTCTTGTCTTTATCAATCAAAGTAAATAATATCGTTCATGGTTTAAATTCGTTTTTTTTAATCTACAAATATAGCTGACATATACATTATGCATGTACAGAAGCATTTAATTCATAACTACGAAAGGGGGAAACAATCATGTGCACAATGTTAACACTACAAAATCTTTAGGGATACTATAATTGAAAATGTATACCTGCTCGATATCACTCCACCAAATAGTAAAATCATTAGGCAGTAATGCAGTCGTTGCTGATATATGACTTATCTTAAATAAAGAAAAAGACAACGTTTGTATCACAAACAAACTCGTGAAAAAAAAAAAATCAAGTCGTTGGAAATAGAATAATGCCCCAAGGTAGGTCCAAGTAGAGTTACCATGACATTGACTTGCATCAATGGCATGGTTCCTTTAACAAAAGCGTTTCAATCATATAGAAACATGAACAAATATTTTCTCATAATCTTAATAAGCCCAATTTGTTTAAATCAATCTGTAAATGAATGGCAAAAAGTATGACCACACGCAATCATAAATATAATGTTTTGACATTTTATAGCCATCACTTTCTAAACTGTTGAATGTGGCAAGTGTTCTTAATGTGCCACAGAATTATGCCTACTAATTTCAAGATCAGTTTCTTATTTCAAGATCAATTTCTTAGATGTGGAAATATGAAGAAAAAATGAACAGCGTTGTAGAATAGCATAAAAAGTACGATTTCAATTTATTTTTTTTAGTATATTTCATTAATATCTTTTACATACCTTCCTATTTTAAGTAACCAAGTAGATCAATGTATTAAAAATCCCTTTATGTTTTGTTTTAGGCATTTGGACCTCATTGAAGTTCTTTTAAAGTAAAATAAAAAACTTACTTTGTTTCGGAAATTCTTTAACCGACAAATATCTGCTTCCAATGATACATCAGTTGGTAAGGGAGATGTTTTCCAGTTAAACTTTTTGTTCAATTTGAAACAATTGAGGTTTCTAAGAAGACATATGATAAGAGTGATGTCCAGATCAAATGAAGTGGGGAGCATGCCACCCGGTGGAAATAATATGTCATATTGGACTTGGGTTATGATACCACGGCTTTTTAAATGCTGAATAGTGGCCTTTTCGTTTTTCAAACATGCCGATAGGGATATTCCATTTGCATTTAGAATGGTGTCCACTATATCTCTCAAAATCAAAAGACCTCCATCTATAATGAGTATCTGCAAACGAAACAGATGAATACGATTTTCCGTCGAGATGCTACCCGTTGCCATTTTCTTTTCCCGAAATGTGTGAAATCCGTTTTATATCTATATGTGTCGAAACGTTATGTCGGTGAATAAATACATCTATGTCACCTTTGATTTAGTCATAGCTTAAATCACTGCGGGAGGGGCTTCCATTCAGAGGGTGCTTTATGTGTGTTTATGGGTCTGAAAAAGATAAAGATACGGTGAAGGTGAACTAATCAAAAGAACAGAAAACAGAAAGAATTATACAACGCAATGAAAAAGGAATTGCACACATATGAGATTAAAACATTAAATGTTTTTTATTGTCTACTTTAAGTATACGTTTTATTAACGCAGGTACATTTTTGTATCAAACAAAAATTGTCGACTAAATATACTTAAAAAGCATGCACAAAGAAAAACAAATCTGCAGATGGTTTCCTTTTGAAAACTTTCAGAACGAACGAGTTTATATACAAATGACTATATTTATACGGCTAGTGCTGACATTTACAAATGATAAGATTTATACAGCTAGTGCTGACATCTATAAATGATTCTAGATTATAACAGCTGTTGCTGACATCTACAAATGCCTTGATGTATACAGCTTAAGCTGACATATACAAACGACTATAATTATACAGTTACTGCTGACATCTACAAATGACTAGAATTATACAGCTAGTGTTTATATCTACAAACAACTATTATTATACAGGTAATGCTGACATATACACATGAATAGAATAATACAGCTAAGGCTGACAACTGCAATTGACTAGATTTATACAGCTAGTGTTTATATCTACAAACAACTATTATTATACAGGTAATGCTGGCATATACAAACGACAGTATTAATAAATCTAAGGCAGACATCTACAAATGGCTATACTATACAGCTAGTACTGAGATATACAAATGACTTGGTCTATACAGCTAGTACTGACATTTTCAAATGACTTGATTTATACAGCTAGTGCTGACATCTACAAATTATTAGATTTATAAAGCAAGTGCGGACATCAACAAACGACTTGATTTATACAGCTAGTGCTGACATATACAAATGTCTAGATTTATACAACTAGTACTAACATATATAAATGACTTGATTTTTACAGCTAGTGATAACATTTTCGAATGACTTGATTTAAACAACTAGTGCTGACATATACAAAAGACTAGATTCATTCGGCTAGTGTTGACATATACAAATCACAAATGCTGACATATATTAACGACTACATTTATATAGCTAGTGCTGACATCTACTAAGGAATCGTTTTATACAACTAGTGCTTACATATAGAAATGACTCGATTTATACAGCTAGTGATAACCTCTATAAATGGCTAGATTTATTCAACAAGTGCTAACATACAAATGGCTAGATTAATACAACAAGTGCTGACATATACAAATGGCTAGATTAATACTACAAGTGCTGACATATACAAATGACTAGACTTATACAGGTAGTGGTGACATATACAAATTAATAGATTAATGCAACAAAATTACTAGATTTATACAGCTTGTGCTATAATATACATCATATGACTTGATTTTTTACAGCTAGTGCTGACATTTTCTAATGAGTCGATTTAAACAGCTAGTGCTGACATATAATAACGACAATATTTATACAGCTAGTGCTGACATCTACAAATGACTAGATTCATACAGCGAGTGTTGACATATACAAATCACTCTAGATTTATTCAACTAGTTCTTGAATATACAAACGACTATATTTTTATAGCTGGTGCTGACATCTACTAAAGAATCGATTTATACAGCTAGTGCTTACATAACGAAATGACTTGATTTATACAGCTAGTGCTTACATATAGAAATGACTTGATTTATACAGCTAGTGCTTACATATAGAAATGACTTGATTTATACAGCTATTGCTGGCATCTACAAATGGCTAGATTTATTCAAGTAATGCTAACATATACAATCGACGAAATTTATAGAGCTAGTGCTGACATGTACAAATGACTAGAATTATGCAGGTGATATCTACAATTCAACTTATTACAAAAACTAAGCTTGCCAAAAGCATATACATCGTTTTTTGGTATTTGCATTTTATATCTCAGAGAAATGCAAATTGTATTAACATGAATACATTATATTTAAGGACTAAAAATATGTTTATGTGAATACTAGTAATAGACTTTCAATTTATGCCTTACAACCGTCGTGAATATTGATATTGATAAATCAAAAACATAGTTCTTATACGTAGTTACCCCTTAATTAAGTAGTCATTTTTGCTGATACTATTATCTGAAGAAAACGGCGATTAATACGTGTAGAAAGTATACCCAAAAAAATTTTTTTGGGAGAAATAGCCCTACCAACAGAATGACTACAACGGCAAGTAACAACACTTATTATTAATTATCTCAATATTATTCATTAAGGGAGAAAGCTGTGTGCTTATAATAAATTTCAACAATTTTAACAACTATCGGGTCCGCTCCAGCTATAACCAGCACTTGAAAAATGGATAAAACAAAATTCGAAATAAAGTTTTATATAATTTTGAACATTGAAAAAATCATTTTATTTGTAAAAATGCAATACACAGAAATAGTCAAATGATTGTCAATACAAAACGTCCAACAATGAGTACAACAATGGTAAAGTGAAGTAAGCTGAAAAACAAGGATAACTCTTAGCAATCCTTGAATGTTTCTTGCATTCAAGAGATGGGAGTTCAAGCCATGCTTTTTTACGAGTATGCTCAATATAATAAAATTTCGACTTCAATTACATGTTTAAAATTAAACTAAAACAAACAAAAAATTAAGCAATTAAAACAACAACAAATCCAATATGTTTTTGATGCACATAACGGAAATGTTAATTTGTTCTACTAATCCCTCTGTTTTTGTAGAACATTAAAATGTTCTATTTAATTGTTTATCACACACCCGTGCCGATTTTGCGACTCCGTAAATATGGTGTTGCACGGTCGTGTATATATTTTGACGTGACGTCATTAGCGTTATTCAAACATAGTGTAAAGACGCGCTAAATGTTAAGCGTTAAACTATAGGTGCGTCAAAGAATAATGACTTTTATTTCACTTTAAACGGTCTTTATTTTGGGTATGTGATAAATAGAATTTTAAATTCGTGTAAGTTCATTACTGAATTTTTTTGCACTCGTTGAATAAAATTATATCATGCGAGAAGCCACATAATATAATTTTATTCAACTCGTGCAAAAAATTCAGTATTGAACTTACATTCATTCAATATCCTCTATTCATTTCAGGTTATAAAATCTTATATCGTCTTGTCATACGACTTTAATTCGAGCATGACACACAACTAAAAAATCGATATCTACAAAACTACCCTATTTTTACATCAGTATAACCTGATCCACATATAATTTAATATCTTTATATCAAAAATACGTATTTTTTCAAACTCTTACTATACCTATACTTCATGATATCTCTTATAAAATGATATTATTTTTTTAGAGGCATTTTTCCCAATTTATTATTTAGATATGACAGAATAGGTAAAATGTTTTAAGCTACAAAGGTTTTGATTTGCAACATTCAGATGATGATAATAATAATAATAATAATAATGATAATAATAATAATATTATAATAGTATATTGATAATAATAATAATAATAATAATAATAATAATAATATAAATAATAATAATAATAATAATAATAATAATAATAATAATAATAATAATAATAATAATAATAATAATAATAATAATTATAATAATAATAATAATAATAATAATAATAATGAATAATAATAATAATAATAATAAAGATAATAATAATAAAAATAATAATGATAATAATAATAATTATAATAATAATAATAATAATAATAATAATAATAATAATAATAATAATAATAATAATAATAATAATAATAATAATAATAATAATAATAATAATAATAATAATAATAATAATTATAATAATAATAATAATAATAATAATAATAATATAATAGTATAGATAATAATAATAATTATAATAAAAATAATAATAATAATATAATAGTATAGATAATTATAATAATAATAATAATAATAATAATAATTATAATTATAATTATAATAATGATAAATATTAATAATAATAATATTAATAATAATAATAATAATAGATAATAATATTGAAAATATAATGACAATAATAATAATAAAATACTTTCACAACTCAATCATGTTAACCTTTGCAACACACTAAAAAATAATTCAAAATTATTCAACATAATACTAGGTACATTAAAATATAAACAAAAAGTATAATACCGTTTTTACATTATCCATTTTCTTATTTTCAGTTGAGTTTAAAAAACAATAAAGAAGGCTTACATTTTGTTTTGTGTCATTAAAGTGTTGAAATATTATGATAACAGCATTGTAAGCGTATGTAGTCCAAATGCACGCTGCGATCATCTACACTATGTATCAGTTTAAATAGATATGTGTTGTAAGCCAATGAAATATCAACGAAAATCTAGAAGGATAAACACTAGTCTATCATGTGTTGATATACTTGAAGTATAGAAGTAGTCTAAAAAGCAAGCGTATTGAACTTACGGAAGCTGGCTTAATGAAAACGCAATGTGCGAACATGTTACCAAAACATGACCGAAATGACTCTATACCTTTATGTTTTAATTACTATTTTATGTTAATTAAATTACTACTTGCTTAACGCTATGTGCCAATAGGAGATTAGCTTACATTGTTTGCTCGATATATAAATAAAGACAAACAATGGAAATCATAAGGTTAGCGAAGAGGTTACTATAGCACTATGTGCTATGTCTTCTGGCAAAGTAAGATTAGCCAACCCTCACACAAATAAGGCTTAAAAAAGATAGCACAATAATCTCGCCCAGTTAAAATCATTGAGAAGTCTTAAAATAGTCAGAGAAATTTTCTTCTGATATACATCTATTTTTGAAATATTGATTCTTTATAGACCTAAGTTAGGGTTTGTAACATAATGGCATAAAAATTTGTTAAAATATTGGGCTTAATTTCGAATTGAAAATTGCAATAACCTTCAACTTTGTATTTTCCCATTCTTTATCATATTCTCATCAACCTCAACTTTGTAATTTTCCATTCTTTATTTTTTTCTCATCAATGTGATACAGTGTATACAACATATGATGAATGAAAAGCATATGAAAAAGCACGTTGTTACTCTCTGCAGAGTGAAAGGAGACTTTGTATATGTTTATATCATAATACAAGTGAACTCATTGTTGCATAATGGAGTATTAAATATCACACTTTATCTACATCTTGAGCATAGAACATGTATGATATATCCATTAGTATGGGACATTCATGATTGTGTAATAGGGCTACATTTAAGTAAACGTAAACTGTTTTCTTGCCCTTTTTTGCTTATTTCCTATACCTAAGTTTGTTACTTTAATCTAATTGGTGCTATCGGTTTATTTCAATATTTTTATTGGTCGACTTAATTGAAATTATTCGATTAGTTTATAACGTTTTATGAGTTATTTTGAACAATCAATAAGTAAAGAAATCATTGTCATGACTACCAAATGTGTATAAATACCGAATGAATTTCTTTATTACCTGTCTTTGGAACTGGCCGACAGGTCACTTCAAAGCTTTAGAGCTTTGACACCTTTTCAAAGCTTAATAGTTTTTACTGTATTTAAATCTATATGATTTATTGAATAACGGTCAAGATCATATAATGCAAATTTTTATGGATTTATATCATGCTCAAATATGATGCTCAAATAAAGATTTATCAATTTTGTAAGTTCCAAAAAGCATTATTTATCAAAATAGCACCGAATTTAATATTTCATGTAAATAAAGGGAGGTTATTAAAAACATTATTTTCCATAAAGTCTAAGTTATTTTTTTTCCAAAAAGAAATGAATGCTTATATTTTAATGATTACATATAATATGTATTAAGATTTGCAGTACATATTTTACATACTCTTTGATTTTTGAAAATTGTTTTATAAGCATATTTATATACATATATATAATTTCACTTAAGTGTGGTATTCAACCTCAATTACAACATACAGGATCTTTAAACTTGTTAATAAATACATAGAAATTCTTTTAAATAAATAATCATAAGTACTAGATACTTGTTTGAAATGTAATCTCATTCAAGCTTTTGATAAATAAATTCTATGATTATCATTTAAATAAATCCCATACTGTAGTAGTGTTAAATTTATAAAGTCTTGTGTTGTATTTTCTTATATAATAGTAGCTTGAAGGTAGCGTCCAAACACCACAATCATAGCCAATGGCTGGCAATTAGAGTTCAGAGAAGCTGGGTAAAGTATCGTTTAAAGATATCTATATGATCATGTGATGTACGTATAATTATATATGACTATCCAGAGCACCACTGAGTGTTGGGCTCGACTCAACTTAGACCACTGTTAATAAACCGGCACTATTACATTGGTGCCGTGACGACTGGACTTTTTATTGTTTATAACGCAACTCTTTTACATTGGTGTCGTGACAGCTGGATTTCTAATTTTTTATAACTTGACTCTATTACACTATTGTCGTGACAGCTGAATTTTGATTTTTGTATATTTGGTGTACGTCTATAGAGGATATTGAATGAGTGTAAGTTCAATACTGAATTTATTGCACGAGTTGAATAAAATTATATTATGCGAGCCTCTGGCGAGCATAATATTATTTTATTCAACGAGTGCAATAAATTCAGTAATGAACTTACACGAATTTAATATTCTATTTATCACATACCCAAAATAAAGACCGTTAAAAGTGAAATAAGAGTCATTTTTCATTGGCGCTCCTATAGTATAACGCTAATTTTTAGCGCGTCTTTACACTATGTTTGTATAACGCTAATGACGTCACGTCAAAATATATGCACGGTCGTGCAATACCATTTTTACGGAGTCGCAAAATCGGCACGGGTGTGTGATAAAGTATTTTATTTACTTATTCTGTACTTTAGTTATATGAAAAATACATATGTTTCGTACTTACGTATAAATTTAAATATATAGTTTTGTTGGTCTTTTAACGGCAGAGGGAATTTAAATAGGGCTAAGTAAAGTTTTGTTATATTAAGAAAAACAGTACTCAATCAGAATCAAATTGGAAATTACTCATGTTTTCTAGTATATTACACTAGAATATCGTCTGCTAAATTTTACATTAAGCATGATAAGTCGTGTGGTATTTTTTTTTCATTTAACGGTTAATCGAGTAAATATTGCCAGGTGTATAGCGCGTTGTGTAATATGAGTTTAAACCGGTTATAGGTTGGTGGTGTATAAAATAATCATAAATGTATGTGTATTGATTATAGAATATAAACTAAAATAAAAAATATAAAATAAAAAACATAATTAAGGCGGACGCTCCTGTTAATAGGATATTAGTTAAACTAAATAAATCTATTTAATGGTTCACTATTGAAATTAAAAGAATAGATTTAAACTCTATAGAAATAATCTTAAAATATAAACATATAATTATACTAAGTTGTCAAAACTTTATTAAAGACTAGCAAAAATATTGTGTTAAAAAACTCTAAGTAAGAGTGTCATAAAGTTATGTTTGTGGTTAAAGTTAAACCTTTGAAATTGTGTGAACAATGATACATTACAAATCTTGATTTAATGTGATTTAACTTTAAAATGTTAAAAAGGTTAAAGTACAACTGAGGTATAAATCATTTTCTTTTACTTAAAAAGGTGTTATGATTTAAGTATGACTGAGGGAAATTTACTGATTAATTCTGATTGTTGTGGTCAGTACCGTGCAATAGATACTTCGGGGTTCAATGCACAAAATACGTCTCTCACGAGAAACTTTAAAAACACCTACTTGTGCTCACAATATAAAGTCTTTTCATGCAACGGAAGGACAGGTAAACACGCATTCTTCACCGAGGTATAGGGAAACTTTCCATAATACGTTTTATGGGACTGATTCATTTTTATATTCCCCTACTTTTAGACAAGAGTTTAGTACTCCGAAAGTAAGATTTAAGTGACATTCTCTTACTGCTCGATGTGAAACAAATGCCGGATTATTACGTATTGATGATAGTCATAGCTTACTCTTGTATACGGGAAGAACTCATGATGACTTAGAAATGTCTATTCTTGGGGTTAGAGTGGCTGATTTTGATAAAAAGCCTGTGCTTTTCCCTTTAAAAACTGATTATACTGCTCCTAATGTGACAGTAAGACATTATAGCCATATGAGGAATTCACCCTCTTTAGAGACAAAGTGTAACATTAGTAGCGTTACGTCAACGGTTATGGTAAATACGCGACAGACACCGGTGCCACCTACTTTATTGAACCATTATTCACAAGACTTTCCAAGTAATTTATCTCAGGGAAACGCATTTATTCCTACAACTTATGGTGTTCCGATATACACAATGTACTCGGGTATTGCAAATACTCGGCAATTCTCTGTTATGGATATTAGTCCTGGTCATTTCGATGGTACTACTAGTGAATGGTCCGATTATATTATCACTTGAGCAAGTAGCCAACTGAAAAACTTTGGATGATCAACAAAAAGCATGCATGTTAACAATTCATTTGCGGGGGGGGGGTGCAGGGAAGCACAACGATTACTTTCTACATTGCAAGTTTCAACATGCAAGTTATTTGGAAACTAAGCGTGTGTTAACGCAAGATTAAGTCCACATGAACGTGAAATAGCATTTCGCTCTGAATAGAAGCAAGAGTGAATCCGCTTCGAACTATGGTTATGCACTTCGCAGATAAGCACAAAAAGAATTCCCTTTAATGCATAGTGATGCTTTAGAAACGTGTATTATTGACCAATATATTCCTGGAATAGGTACTTTTGAATTAACCTTTTACCCCATGAGCATTTTGCAAAAAATGACCGTTTTCATTTAAAAGCCTCCTGTAACAAGTTCAAACTGCTATGAAACTATGAAAAATGCTTCAATACTGATGAAACTTGGCACAAAGTTGACTAGACCATAGCTTCTGCAGCATGCTCAATCGTAAATTTCCTGTTACAATGGCAACGAGGAGACGTCTCAAAATTGCCAAAAATCACTATTTTGCATTGTTTTTTCCATCAAACTTGATTTCAAAGTGCTGCGTCTTCTCAATGAATTGAGATAGAGTAAAAGGCTTTTCAGCGTCGGTTAATAGTTGCCCTAAGATCGACCTGGGGCCATTTTAAGCCTGTCACATGTCCAAAAGGGGGCAAAAAGCCGGCAAAACACGTCTTTATGAGGGAAAAGGTTAAGAAAGCACGTACAATTTACGCATCCTATTACTTTGGATAACGCAATTAGTGCTGCCGTAAAATTTATGTCATTACAGTTTTCCGTAGATAATAGACGATGAAAGGGAGTTAACTCATCCATTGAATGCTATTTTGTCATCATCAGTTGCGTCCCTTAGGACTACAAATTTAAAAACTGATTGTAAGTTTAGACGAATTAAAGCAAATAATGTCTTCTCTTTTTTATCAAAAGTTCGAGCAAAAATTTCAACAAAAGACAGATTCTTAT